TAATTATTATTCTTTGAGATATGTATCGTCATGTATTAATTTTTTTCATAGTTTTTTTACGTCACGTTAGATTCTATATTTAAATATTTTATAAAATGCTCTCGTAATCGCGCATCTCATCGAACTTAAGAGGGATACACGAAGCTCTATTTATCATTCTGTCAATCTCTCTTTTATCATTTTTTTTGTTTGTAACTATAATAAATTTATATTTCTATACTTTTATATTGTTTACAAAAATTCTACAAAAGATAATAATAAAAAATAAAATAGGATCATTTGATTTGAAAAATCTCTTTGCTGAAGTTGGCTGGATAAATGTATTTATATATTTATATATCTACATGATTACGGGGTTTCTTTAAGGAAATCGAACACCGACACGCTCTTGTTACCATTTTTTTCAAATATTCTTCCCTTTTTCGTTTTAACACGTACAAGTGAATAAATATTTTTACGAGATTTTATAAATCCAAACAATGTGCGCACGATCGGAAAAACTGGCCTTGACTCCCTTGTTTACTTCGATACCTAATCACGAAAATTTTCCATGATTATTAAAATTGTGTAAGTCTTTTTTGCTATATTATATCGAAAATCGCTCGAAAGTATTGATCACATTGAAATATCTTTATTATTGTTGTTAATCTAATTTTTTTCAATTTTTCTTTTTCGAGAATTTATTTAGTCTTTTTTTTATGAAAATGGCAGTTATCGGTCACAGCCAATGGCTATTTAATAAACGCTTATGTTAGAACTATCGGTTACGTCATTATGTTTTAATATTAATTGCAACTAGTCAGTAGTAAAAGTCTTAAAAGTGCGCCATTTACGCTTTTATTATAACTCGTTGAAATATTTTTATTATAAGTTCACATTAATCGTTTTTTTAACTTTTTTCTGGCATGAAGAAACAAGACCGTGCGACAACCGAGTTTGAATCAGTACAAGAAGTCAAAATGTCGGATAATAAAAGCATTTCTACAGGGTTGGCGTGAAAAATTGGAAGAAGGCGATTGGTTCGCTCAGAAGGCAATATTGGTACATATTTTCTTGGTTTATACGTGCCTCAATTCTTCAAATTTTTTTCCAGCCGAAAAAGTTTTTTATCAATACTTCAGAGTTCTATAAACTCGATTCTATGCAATTCTTCGATAAACGTTTTTCAAAAATTTATTAGCTCGAAAATGGAAATTGCTTTCTATTCGAACCATAGTTTAGAACAAAGTGGCTTGTTTATAATAATGAACTTTGATCTCAAATAAATGCACATTTTCTATAAGAAGCTCGGAACCTCGGCTAAAGTAAGAGTCTAGCGGAGATTCGCGCGCCTGACTTATACTCGACTCATACTACTCAATCTCGCTCGAGCATGGCATTTTTTTCGCTCGCGAATCAGTTCAGCTTCAATTTTAGATGATTTAGTTATTTAAATCATCATCAGGTTATATTGATGAAGCATAAAATAAAGATTTATTACGTATATATTGTGACGAAAAAGAAACCGAGTTGGTCGGCAACCGCCCCTATATTTTGCGATGTATTTTGGTGGTTATTTCATTCGTTATTAGTTTCACGAAAAGTTCCTCAACTTTTAAGAAATTAGATTTCTGTATTTGTTCACGTGAAAACTCGCTTTCTTAATTATCATAATTGAATTGCAATAATAAAGCATGGTGACTCGTATTTACTTTTTCAATCTCGTGTGTCTTAGACGTATTTATAATACCATAATAATAATAATGGTAATCATACAAGATATTGAGAATTCTTCGTACGCCAATATACTAGTTTTTATTTACTTGATTACCTCATTGAAACACGAAAATTTTATCCTGCAGATATTTTCAGAAATTATGTACGCTCACGGTTTTATTTCGATTTCGTGAAGTCTTTAATATTATAACTATTATTATTTTTTTTTTTTGATTTTCTTTTCTCTCGACGAAAGATAAATGTTGATAGATCCTAACGATAATCTTGCTCGCTCGCACTCCGCGTTGAATCATCTGTTCACTTCATTTATTTATTTTTTTCGGTACGCCATTAAATTTTAATGGAGAATATTAACACACCTATAGTCGCGACTCTCGAAATATCAGACTTTATTTATTGAAGAGAATTACGTAATTCTGCATGATCTACATTACATACACGTACACATATAATTAACCACCCGTTATTACGCGGGTCACCTTTGTTCGTACATATATACCCACACACATATATATTAATATATTTATAATATATTTTTTATATTCTGTTTTGTTGATTACTTCTTTATACTCTATTATATAATAATTATTAAAAATTTTTTTCATGGTTTAAGTTGGAACGTTGATGCTAAAGAGAATACCTATAAATATATAATATATGTATTATGACATCACCGTTTTTTCTTTAAATTTTCACATTTTCATTGTAATTTATAATTTTTTTTTTCATATCATATATTCCGTTATACTTAACATAGAAAAAATATAGAATTCATTTTGCCTTGAACTTAAATATAATAAACCTCTTTTTTACTCATACATCTATCGTAAGCTTCTCCGTTTACACGTTTAAAAATTACTTTTGTCTCTCGAGCATCGTTCGTTTATCCACAGTTATATTTATTTATATATATTATAATTAATAATTAAGTGCGGTGCATTGTTCTTAATATAGTGCGACACGGCGCGTTTCAATATTTTTTTCTTCAATATAGTTTGCAGTGTAGAATTTTCAAGCACGACTTTTTTCTATTATGACATACTTTCCCCTCAAACGAAAATTCAACGGAAAACAAGCAAATATGTCAATTTCTGCACGAAAAACGGTCTTTACTATAAAATGAAGCGTATTTAATATAATATAAATAATATAAAAAAACATTGGTTTTTTCAAACTAATAAAATATTGGATCGTTGAGTAAATAAAGTTATCGACACGCACAAAAGAGAGAGATAGAGAGAGAGCGGATAGGTGTCTAAAATACCCGCAAACATTTTTTTAAATAATTGTTTTATTAATATTTTCTATTTTTCGAATACGATAAAAATTTGAACGACAAAAACTACAACAAATATAATATAATCAATCAAAATACAGAGGATACATAAATAAATGCACGTTCAATCGTGCAACTCTTTTTTGACAAAATTTTCACCGCGTGATCAATTTCCTTCAGATTTAATGAGGTAAAAAAGATAAAGTTAAAAAAAATTAATTGATGAATTAATTAATTGACTTCAATCTTTCTTATGCTCGTAAAATCATCAGAATCGAATTCTTAATTCACATGAGAATCACTTTTGGTAGATCTAAACCACGCAACGCGCGGAATCAATAAATGCTCTTTTGTTTTTTTGTAAATCTATTCATTCGATTACCCTTACGTTCTCTTTCTTTTTTTTTACTTTCTCTTTCTATAATATATATAAAAATAAAATAAATTACAAAAATATTATACGTCATTTTGAGGAAAAAGCCTTAAAATTATCGACGACGACGTTTTTTGTAGACTTATCAACGCGTACCTCGCTTTTTAGTCCTGTTCATTTTTTAAATGCGTGTTACATACTAATGTTTATCTGTGAGTGTAAGTGTCAATGTTTGTGTTCACTTGGGTATTACTAAGCACGTGGATGTTACAAATGTCTATATGCTGATAATCCGTCGATATTTACGAATCTCGTTGATTAGTTATTACTCAATTATTACTCAAGTTTTTGATAGTACAGATCCATCGTGCTACCGTTTATAGAAATAATTCAATTTGATAATCTATGATTTAAAAAAATAAATAAATTTTGGTAATCTTTAATCACAATCAATCCTAATTTTTTTTCGTTTTTTTTTTGTTTTTTCTTGGAATGACAACCAACAATTTTCGTAAATAAATAAATGCAAATATTTTAAAAACTTATTGACATTAGTAATATTATTTTTAAAATGAATGCAAATAGCTTTTTCTATCAATTATGTAACATTTAGATTATATTACTCTTCGATTGTTTCTGTAGATCGGTAGCACGATCGAAGGCATAATTTTTTCTTTCCATACCATAATTGTTCTTTTTTAGTTTTACACTGGTCATCTAATCTTTTTGCGTCATAATTGTTAAACAAAGAACGCGTTTACTAGCCTATACTGCAATATCAGCGCCATTTCGGAACACACTTAAACCAACGACCTTTGGATAGGGCAGGGCTTGGTTCAATTTTTCTAATTCTTCGACGACCACCTTGATTTACGATTTTTTTGCTTTTTCAATTACACAATTTTATTGCAATTATACGGCAATAATATATTTAATTCTAGGTATAAAATTTTTTTGCTTTTTATACATATTCAATTTTTGTTTTATAAGTATTCAAAGTTGCCGTGGAAGTGGAGGGGCTTTATATAGCCTAGACCGTCGACGGTCGTGCAAATGTATTTTTTTTGTTTCTCTTTTTCAAGCGCGTCTCACTGTTATTATTTATTTATTTATTTTTTTTAATTTTTTTATTCGTTACTTTTTTCTCCTCAAAATCGAATTTTGAATATCGGATAATATCACAATTATCGCGAGACGCGTGAAATTTTGACAAACACCACATATTTATAGAAAATAAATTTATCTCCCTTCGCCTTCTGCCAACAACTTTTCGTACTTGTTCTAGTCGAATTTTTTTACAAAATTATATAGATTTAACATGCAACTCAATTTTTTATCTACCTCAAATGATCATAATATAAATATAAAGTATAGTTCTCCGTAAGTCTATTGAAGTCATTATGTATATGTACATATACATACATTTAATATATATAAGATACATATATATAATCTCACGTCGACTTACTTCGGTGGTCGTCGACAGTCTATAGAATATCTGCATTATTAAATTTTATTTTTTCATCACCATACACGCACGATAGATTTAATAAAACATGCAAAAATCTAAATTTGCTCTTTTTTATAATATATACTCATGCTCAACACACATATATTGTTATATATTTTTATATTATATCGCTCGCGCATTTGTATACACAAAACAAGGAAAAATAATTCATCAAACAAAAAAATATAAATATAACAAAATACCAAGTTTTCATAAATCGCGTTTTGTATTGATCAATCGCTACTGACTTGTATTTATCTTCAACTACTGAATACCGTAAAAGATAAAATGTTCAGTTTTTACCATATTTTTCATATTACTTTAAAAATTGATTCGTTGTATTCGTATATAATATTTTAAATATATATTAAGTTTTTTAACGTTCGGTGAGGGCACGCGAATTGTATCATATTCACATCTATTATACATATATATCGTTATATTATATGCATAATTTCATTTACACATATCAATGTTCACTCATGTCTACTCTCCTTCCCTACAATGAAACAATGAAAAGAAAGTTGCGAGCTCTATGATAATATTAGTAATACACACGGGGTAAAAATTGTGAAGGACTAAAGATAAAACACAACTATATCTTATAAGATGTGTATATATACATGTACTATAATAAAACGTGCAAATTTCTCGCGTCGTTCGCGCACTCTCGACCGAATAAATAAGCTAATCTGCAATTATTCACCATTGTATATGATTTTGTTAAATACATTCTGACTGATTCGCATGATATTTACTATAAGAGACACACGCTTTTATACGGTTTTTCGTTAACGACATTTTTTTGTCTTTACATACTACGAGTTACATTATATTGGCAGCAGTAGCAGTGGAATATTTTTTTAGTTTCAAAACGTTGTGCGCTCTCGTACTTCACTGTTATCAATTCACGATCAATCGCTGGTAGTCCGTGTCAAATGTCAAATCATCAGGGTCTTGAATTATAATTCGTCGATGAAATGATACCGTGTCCCAGGATTGAATTTCTTTTCGATGAGCGAAGAAATGTTCATTTAGTCGTAGTAATGTGAAATCAAAATTCGAACTTAACGATGTAAATTTCGTATTTTCACACACGAGTCTTAGTCTCGGAGGGTTGGGGCATAGGGAGGGCTCTTCATTTTTGTTATATACCCATGTGTTCTCATATATGTACGTAGAGATCCATTGAATTAGCGTCCGTTGTTCATTAATAATAATCACATCGATACATCACCTCTTACTTTCAAGAGAGATTGCATATATATAGTAAATATATAGTAGTTGTACACAAAAAAGTAAGTTCTTCCCAGAAGATCCTCTCCCAATTGTAGCGTCGTTTATCAAAGTATAAAAAATCGCGTGTGTGAATCTTCATTTTTCTCATTCATGTCTTTCATCTATAGTATATGTTTGTTTTCGTTTAAACTAGTTTAAATCGAGAGTACACGTATGTATCTGTCTAAGTGAATGAGGAAGCGTGTGTGTTCATACCTTTGAGGTACGAATGAGCGTGTTGTGTGTTAAATGTAAATGTGTTATTGTGTCATAATCATCAGTCGGTAATGTATCTTACGCTGCCATCGTCTTAGATGATGATGCGCAACGCCTGAAGTACAGGCTTCGAGCAGACTGGACACTGGGGCTCGGAGCTCACGCAGATGCGATGTCCGCACTCGATGCAGAATGACTTGTGGCCGCAGGGCACGAGGGCCGTGGAGACGTCTTTGTCGCCGCAAACGACGCATTCCCGAGCGCCACCTTGGCTTCCGGGGCTGCCGGGACTGCCGGCGCTGACGCTGCATCCTGACGTGTTGGCAGTGCCTAGAAGCGAGTCCGTGGGCGAGACGGGAGACGTTGAGGCTGGAGGCGATGGTCTTGACGGCAGAGCTACTCCAGGAAAGGACCAGATCGACGACGCGTTGGCGGGCTGGGATTCGAAGCTGGGCGACTCGCCGATACCTTCGTCCCGCTCGAGGCCGTTACCCCAGATGGCGACGAGGTCGTTGAGGCCTGGAGCGCCGGAGCTGGACGACGAGCTGCTGCAGCTTCCCGAGGAAGAGAAGGCGCCAGAGGATCCATTGCTACCCTTGCTGCCGTTGTTGGGCTGACCGTCGAGACAGCCGAGTATGGACGTGAGACCGCCGCGGCACAGGGCCTCGAGCAGATCTTTCTCTTCGTTCATGCAGATCGGCAGCACGCCGGTGCGCTGGGTGATGTGGGCTTGGATCTCGGTTCTGGCCGCGGCTACGCTTTCGGGCAGGCCCGTGACCTCGAAGACCGGCTCCTTGTCGCGACTCGGCGTCACGATGTACGTGTGCGTCTGGTGCTGGATGCGCTTGATGGTGGCTCCCTTGGGACCGACCACCAGGCCGACTACGCGGTACGGCACGCGTACTTGAATGGTGATGTGACCGGGCACGGAGGCCGGTGGGCCTGGAGGTGTACCCAAAAGGGCACCCAAGGATGACTTGCGCGAAGCTCGGATTTGCGAAAAGTGCTCGGCGGCTGAGAGGATTTCGCGCTTGGCGCGAGATACATCTTCCTTGCGTCCGGTTACGACGAATACTGGCTCTTCACCGCGGACTGGAGTTTTGATGTAAGTGTTCGTCTTGGCACGCAGAGCCTTGATTTTGCATCCTGTGAACAGAAAGAAAACAACAAAAGTATTAGTTATGCTACAATCGTTGAGCAATGTTCGAGTGGCTCGTATCAAGAACCTGACGTTTAGTGATTTCGATTTTTCATCTATATGCTATATTAATGCGCGCGGTGCAAAGCTCTTTTGTTGCGTCGCACAATCGAAGCTCTTATTATCAGTCGAACGAACTCGCATAAAGCTGCGAAAACATAATACTTTCGAGCGTTCGGAATCTCGCAGCTGCCTATTGTAAGTCTGTAGCCTTACTGTTTAGCCTATAACATAACACATTAATGCCCCTCTCTTTTCAATTATATTCTCGAATCTTATGTACACACTCGGATGGGCTTTTTGAAGAAACCATACGTTAGGCTCATTCACCTTTTTCTATGGATTTCAACAAAAATTTTAAAGCTCAGCCACGTGCATGTCCCCTCACTCGCTGGTTCTTTTTGTCTTAGAGATCAGAGTGCTCGCGACGACAGAAAGAGAGAGAACAGTATCATCATAAGGTGCGTGTAAGTGAAGCGATAAAGGAGCGAGAGAGAGAGAGAGAGAGAGAGATAGAGAAAGAGAGTTGCAGCAGCAATTCAGTTGGCCTTGAAACCAGCTTGTGTATGTGAATGTGTGTATGTGTGTATCTGTTGCGCGCGTGTGTGTGGCGTGCATGCCAGTAATGCAGGTGAACCAAGAGCGAGAGAGCTTCTTTCTTTCTTTCTTCCTTTCGTTCGCTCGTTCACTCTCTCTCTCCGGTGCTGCTGCTGCTTCTGCTCTGACTTATAATATACTCATAGCAGAACTCGTTTCTCAGCAACAGCACACACCAACTTGGAGCTAGCTCTGGGAATTCATGTACGTATATATGTTGACTCTCGATCCTACATGTGACTATGCTTGGGCCTGCTCTGCCTCTGCTACCTTTAAGCTATTTGCAGGAAAGTAGGTAATCCTAGTTGTACGAGCATATCGTGTTTAGAATTAGGGTGAGAGAGCGCCTAGGATCAAGAGACAAGCAGTGACTCTTTTGACCGATGAAAATTGAAGCGATTATTATACGTTGATCTTGACTGTGAAAAACTCGACCGTCCAGGATTTTTTGTCATCCTCGAAAATTTGATGTCGGGACCAAAACTTGACAAACTGGGCATGACAGGAAAGTAGAAGACGAGTTTGAAATAATAATTGGAAAAAATGTTTTCTCAGTTCAACAAAATGGCATTCTTTTCAATTTAAACTATGCTTGCATTTCGATAATATCGATAAATATAATCCAAAAGCATTGCCTTGACGTATATACATAAATATACTATCATATACCATTATAAGACAAAGGACTTGAAACTCAGAGAGCGAGAGAAATCCTTGCGCGCATACCGCGACGCAATGTCAGGGTCGTTCAGTGTACAGCAGCAGTACAAACACATGCACGTCCACTAACACACACACATACACACTTATATACTTACACACTCACGCAAACACATTCTCTATCATGTGCAGTAGTGCACAGCGCGAAAAGCGAAGAAGTCTCGGAGCCGATGCTATGAGCCGTATGTTTATATTTTTAGTGTTTCAGGAAAAGAGAGTGCAACGATCGCGCGAAAGACTCGTAACGTGCGTTAAGGATGTATGTTGTGTGTGAACTGCATTGCCGATGTGTACATAGATATATGTATATTTCTATACGCGTGTACGTGCCCTGTGTGATGGTTACTCCATGTTGTAAGCTTCGGAGATGCGATTGGAAAAATAAAAATCATTATGATTACCGGTGAATCATCTATATAGAGAAGATCATTGGACGCCTAATGAAATAATCGCGAGGCAAGAGTTTATTCCGATATTAAAGAAATAGAAACATGTTCTTTTTCGATCAATGTTATTATTGTCGAGCCGCCAACCGGGGCCTCTGGATATTTTTCTCTTTCTTTCTTTCTCTCTTTCTCCTTCCTTCCCGCCGTCTTCTGCGATTCGCAAATTCGTCCTATTTTATTTTTGCTATCAAAGCGAGAGGCCCACGCTACGCATACAATATTTTTTTTTAATTTTATTTCACGACGTCGTTTCTGTCTCCCGTTCTCACGCGCTCGTCGCTCTTTATTTTGTCGGCTGCTGCTGCTGTTCTCGCTCGCCTGTTCTCAAAGCGCATCTATGGATTCTTTGTGACGCTTCAAAAGAGAACCAGGCGTATATATATACACGCTTGCACACATACATGTAAGAAAGAGAGGAAGGGATAAACTCCTTTTTTCGACTGTGAAACAAGAGTATTTTTCGCTCGTACACGCGGCCGCCCATAGCTCCTTCGGTAATATGTGCTTTAAACTTGAGAATCGATATTTCAAATCTATTTAAATTGGTCACGCTACGCGAGAGATATTCTCGCGCGTACGAAATAATAACAATCGGTCGTTTGAGGACAGCCGAACAGGTGATTGTTTCTCCTCTCTTGGTCGCTGCACCAGCCACAAGAGAGAAAAGGAGAGAGGAAGAGAGGCGGCAAGAGACATAAGACACACGTTGAAGCGAAGCAAAGAAAGAAGTGGAGGAAAGAGTCGATAAAACGTGGCACGCGCAAACTCGGCTATGTATATATATCTATAGGTGCAAGCGAAGAAAGGACGAGAGACGAGGATGTTGGTACAGTCCGAGCCGAAAACTCGAAATAATGCGATATCGCAGTCGTCGCCTTGGAGGTGAAAAAAATTTCACGAAAATTTCGAAATTTATCACGTACGCCGCCCCGAGATTAACATTGAAATTTAATGCTAGGCAGCGAATCATTGGTATTCGACAAACTTTAATAACGCCCGTACAGCACAATCCTGGCGTTTGTTGCACGATGTGTATATACGTTTCGTTCTCTCTTTTTCTCTCTCTCTCTCTCTCTCCGATCGTCCGCGTGCACCATGCTGCAGCATGCGCACTATATAGGTATATACAATACGTGCACCGCACGCAGCTTCGTATTCCGAAGGAGAAAGGAAAAGCAAAGAAAGAAAGAAGAAGTAGGAGTATGGGGGCGTGGGTCGTAGACAGTTGAAGGGCCGCGGCCAAGGTGAGTTGCGCGACTCGAAACTGCATGTCTGAGTTTGTGGCTCTGCCTGTGCATGTATATAAGTCTGAGCGCATTTGTGTGCGTTTATGTCTGCACGTTTGTGTGCGTGTATGGTGCGCACATGCAACGCCACGCGCGCTCGCTCGCAAGACAACTCAAACTCGTATCGAGATAACTTTTTTATTATTATTTTTGAAGATTAAGCCAGCAGGTGCAGCAGCGGAATCTCTATACGGTGTGGTCTGGCGCGAGACCATAATGTATATATACGAGGATTAGTCTGTTGGTGATGATGTTTACTATGAGATATGTGCAAACTTGATCTAGGGACCTTAAGCTACATTTATGTGCGAATATACCTCAATCGTTTGGGACCTTTTTTTCTCGGCAGCGAATCGAAAAGTGAAATATTTATATGGGCCGATCAGGGCGGTCCACACGTTGTACGCCGTCACTATAAGCGCGTCTATAGTTTCGTAATTGAAGATGAAGGGTTGCACAAAGAACCTACAAGAGCCCTTTTTCTCCTCTTTTTTTTTTTTTTTTTACTTTCAACGCACCAGCTGTTGTGTTCGATACACGTACTCGTTACTTTGTTGCACGCAAAAAGACTCGTCTTTTGTTACAGGCCACATATAAATTTATACATAAAATGCGAAGAAACGGAAATCGTTTCAAAAATGAAGTACATATAATCGCATATTCAATGCCGATATCGCGCAATAAAACACGCGGATGTCGCGTCTTATTGACATAAAAAAACAAAAGTAAAAAAAAGCAACAAATGAAATCCGACGTGCGCGAGTGTGTCGATGATCAATGATCGGCATACGAATGAGATGGAAAGCGCCAAACATTTCTTCCGCTACGCGATGTTTCCGAACAGGCTCTCTACGTACCCACACGATAGTCTCAAAGAGTCAATGTACTTGGTACGCGGGTGCGCGGCGCATAGGAAACCTCCACCACCGCCTGCATCGCCGCCGCAGCCGCACAGTGCACAGTGCAATTGTACACATGGCGCGCGTGACGTTACGTAATTTTTTTTCGAAGATGCAGTGGCGGCAGAGAGCAACAGCTCTCGTTGCTCAAAATTTAAACACATCCAGTGAGCAAAAAGAGAGAGAGAGAGAGAACCAGAAGCACAGCGGCTCATTCAGGCGAGTTTGAATGGCAAAAAAATGCAACGCTCGCGCCACTGGAACAAAGAATCGCGAGAGAGTTTCTTTTCAAGCTGCAGTTGCGTATATGTAAGTGCAAGGAGGGGGGCTAAATTCACGTTGTCATATTCCCACGGAACGACGCGCACAGAAGCTCCGCAGCCTTTAACTTACGAGTTCTCTGTCATCGATGAATGAGTGAGAAAATTGTCATGTTTGAAATAAGTCAAAAGAAGGTTTGAGGAACGAGTTTTTTTACTCCCTTCGTATAATGGTTCCCTGTTATTTGAGCAAGTTTGAAAATTCACTCGGTTTTTCTCATAAAGATCATTGCTAAGCGGTGTTTCACACATTTCGAAAGTTATAAATTTTATCGACGATTAGATCTCGTATCAAAAAAGAAGCAATCGAGAACAAACGAACTTCTTTAAGTGATCGATTGTAAGTGAAAGAGAAAAGAGAAAAAATATTGAGCAGCGGCTCGTCGACGCGCTTAGCAAAACGGCAGCAAAAAGGAAAAAATCGGTCTATTTGCATTCTCCTATTTCAAAGGATCTCTCCTCGGCCTCTCTCTCTCTCTCTCTGGCTCTCGACTCTGCGCACTAAATCACGCGGCGGTTGTTGTTGTTGCACAGGGCCCAGGTAACAGGAGCTTCGGTGGCCGATCGGCGGTGGTCGCATTATCATCGCCGCGCGCAGGAACATTTCGTGGAAACGAGAACGCGCCATCTGCCGCGCGCGGTCAATTACGGAGAACACAAATACTCAACAACGAAATGCG